AGACCAACGCCTGCAAGGATTAGAGTCTAGTGAACTTTTACCCAGAAAAAAAAAGAAATTAAAATTGAAAAAAGCTTTGCTGTTAACCTCCAGCATCATAGACGAAAACCAGTTACTGCTTAGTTAAGCAGGAAGTTCAGATGCAGCTTCTGCATTCTTCAGCCAGCTCCTCCCTTTTACTGCCCAGTACCAGGAAAACACACTCATCCTTCCACTCAGTGCAGATTTCCCTCCCCCAGGGAAATTCTGGCACACATTTTAGCTGGTCCAGGAAGCACCAGGCATTGACAACCGCATCTTGCCCTGGCACTTGCCACAACAAGCTGTTGCAGAACATATCAGCATTTCCTTATGTGTCCTAGGAAATTGTATGGCTCCAGGAAACCCGTAGAGGCAGTCCTTGAAAAGTGAATGTGTTAGCCAGTACATAGTAACTGAAGAGAGGCTGGCTTCAGGGACAGTATGAGTTGTCAAAGTCTGCCTAAAGCTTTAAGAAACACCCTTAGCTGCAAGCACAAGAGCTAACAGCAATTCTTCAGTCATGCATTACAATCAATTTTGGTTCACATTCTGCCCAGGGCTTTAAATGATACCGACTCAGAGCAGGTCAGCTGCAGGCTTTGCTAAAGGGGACATGGCAATTAGTCCTGTAGCATCTCACCACTGACATGGTAATGCCTGTGCTTATCTCATACTGCCTCTAGAACACAGGTGATAGTTCAGTATGTGGTTACCCCACCAGCGTAATACTGATAATGGCATCTGCCACTAAGACAGACTAGTGGCTTACCTCAACACCCAAAGCTTTGAGTATGTCACATTTGCACATGGGGCATGTCCTGTGTTCCAGAAGCCAGGGGTCAATACAGTTCTTGTGGAAGAGGTGGCTGGTGGAGGAAGGTAACCAACAAGTTAGGTTTCACACCAGGAAAACCGTTTATACGGCAGCTATGAAGGCCCATTTAGAAACACCGAGAATTTATTCATTCTATAATGAAGAACCTTATTTTGCCACAAGTCTCCGTTGAAAGTTATGGACAGTTGATCTCTCAACCTGTAGCTGGTTTATGTTTATTAGTATCTCTATACAACTCACTAGAATTCAGCATTATCATATCTTTGCTGCATCATTCTTAAGCTTTTTTTTTTAGATCTGTGTACAATACATTCCAGCTGATAATTGAACTAATACAAATATCAACATCTCAGCCTTAGCTTTAAGGTTAGCTTCTGTCATGCAGATGACTAAATAGCACTTGTTTCTGTTAAAACTACATAGAAAAAAAGCATCTCAGAGTTATGCCCTCAAGATAAACTATGCTCCCACACATTTACTTTGCCTATGCAGTCACTGTGTGTTCCAAGTGGATATTTGGCAGGCTGCGTGCTCAAGAAAGTAAATATAGTTCAGCTATTACAGATGTAAATATGTGCTTCTGTGAATATACTCAATTCCACAATGGGTCTGAATTAGGCCACTGATTCAGGAGGATGACTTGAAATCCTGTGATCTGCCTGTTCCCTCAGCCTGAATAGAAATAGCAAGGCAGTCAGGCACTGCTCAATATTAATCAGAACTCTATTATGAGCCAAGTGCAGAGATCACCACATCCAGGGCTCAGTATCCTACGCCCCAGTAGGACACCAGGATTCTCCAAGTCAGTTCACATAACTGGCACCTCCTTCCAGCTGTGCCAACGTCACATCTGGAGTACAACCTGAAACTTCCTTGATGCGTGACTATTTTAAGCACTTGGACTTAATACTGGTCTTGTGTACTGCTGTCACTCTTAGTGCCTTCAGTTTGACTGTCTGGACAAGAATGCCTTCTGCAAATACCCACACCCCAGGTACTTAGATACCACTGATGTGACTCATAGGAGCATCTGATTGCTTGTTTCTTTCATGGATATACTTAAATACTTTCAACAAGTAGGGTCTCAGTGTTTAGGTCAACCACCAACATCAAGACCATTCTTGCAGTAAATATCAGTTTAACTCATGTGAGAGAATTTAGTGTGATTAATATTGGCAGAGATCACCACTGGTGAAGATTATCAAGTAAACGCAGTCATCTTAAGCTAGTGCCTCTTAGAGCACTTTGGGCCAAAGAGGAATGAAACATCACAAATGTATGTAAAAGCAGTCTCAGAGCAAAGCGTAACACAGCAAATTTGCGTATAAAAAATACATTCACAAGAAGTTACTCCACTCTTAACCCAGTAAGTCATGCTTGATTTGCCAGTTCATATCAAGATTAGCAGGGTTTATAGGGAAATAATGAGAGGTCAGGTCTCCTATTGGCTAAAAGTATCTAAGCCTGTCTAAATGCTTCTGTTCTCATGAGACTGACTTCATTACTAAACAGGACTACCCACAAGCATAACCCTGACAAGACAACTGAATAATCATTAGCACACATGTTTGAAAGCTTATTCAGTTTTATTTTTTTCTAAACTATTAAGCATTAGATCAAGGAAGGTTGTTGATAACACCTTAACAGACCAACTTCTTTATACCAAAACAGCTTCTTCGAAGAAGAATTTAGAAGAACTTCTCTGCTTGGGAGCAGAGAAAGCTTTTGCAAACCCGTAGCCTGGTGCAAAGGTAACCTCCTGCTCAGATTTGATAGCATTTGACAAATAACACTGCTCTGCACACAACAGCAGCTACAGGTTTTTCCATTCCTCAGAACCTGATTTTTCCTACATCAAAATTTTTCCTAGGGCTTTTTTGTAATCCTACCCAAGGGTTACAAAACCTCTTCTTATACAAAATTTGTGCAGTTCACATTGCAGCCCTCTGATTTTAGAAGCTTTGCCAGAGCAGTCCCATTCAGCAGGCACGAGAAGTCCCACAGAACAAGTTTCCTTAAGCCCTGAAGAGGCTTCATTGCTCATCTTAGGAGCAATCAAATTAAAGTCTTGGTGCTACAATACCAGGCTTCCACAGGAGCACAGCAGTGAGATAAAACAGTAGAGAATTCTAGAAAAAAAACTGGTCTCTCTCTCTATTTTGGTCTCTATTTCAGATGATGCATACAAGACTAGAAACGCTTTCTTATAAACTACAAAAGTTAGCATGGTTTAACAAGTTTAGTAGGAGCACAACGCTCTTAGTAACCAGTAAGCTAAGTGACAAGAAACAGGCATAGTTTTGCCAGATATCTGCAATTTAGAGGTAACATTCTTACACACCAGCAAAGGAAGAAATCATTAGAAGGCCCTGGCGTGCCCTGGAGAGGCACTGTCGTCTGCCAAGCTATACTTGTCAATCCACTCACAGGGGAAGTTATGAGCACAGGCCATCGGGGCACACTACAAGTGTGTATTTACACGGTTCCTGTTGTTCAAAACACTGCTTGACAGAGATTCAAGAATTCTTGCTGTGCAACAGCTTGACTGAAGTTTGATCAGCTTCGTTAACATAGCAGAAGGAACCACCAGTAAGAGGCGTGCTTCCAGATTTTGGATTAAGGGGCAGTTTGGAAGACAACTTACTTGCAAGTCAGAATACGCACTACTTCGTTCGGCTTGTACAGTTCAATGCACACAACACAGCTATCTCCATCAGGACCAGTTTCCTAAAGCAGTGAGATGAATTTACAGCGTTAAACTTTGAAATCTGCCTTTGAACTACAGTCAGATTTACTGCAGACAAAGGGGTCTAGCTAAAGTAATCCAAGATAGTTCCCGTACATAATCTTTATATAAGCACATTGTGTGGATTACTCCTAGTCAAGGTGACACCAACAGAAGCATTGAAAGTTTAATCCCGTGGTTTAGAAGTCCAGCTACAAAACCATCATTGGATTATTTGAGGCACTACTGCAGAGGTTTAGAAATGACTACCTCCAGCTTTAGTTACAAAAAGAATTGCCAGGAAAGCTGATTAGATATACTAGTTTACCTTTAAGCATCCATGCCAGCAAATTAGGACCTCTCACCTCATCAAGATTATTTATTTAGCCACTTGCTTGTAATCTGATTTATAAGTAAGTGCAAATTGGAAAGTCTTGCACCCCAGAGAAGTACTTGGTCTGAAAGAGGAACCATCTCTGCAACACAGATACATGCTCCGACAGACTTCTGCATCCTGCTCCAGTACCAAGCACCAGCCTCTGGGTTCTGTGCAAAGGCTGTTTTGTAACGCTGGGGAAGCAATAGGATCAGTCATACCTTGTCACCTTGCTTCAGGGTGCGCAGCTGCAACTGTTCAATGGCCTTCTTGGCCTTGGCCTTTAGCTGTCGCTGTAACAGAAAGCAGTCCTGGTTAAACACAGTCATTTTTCTCTTAAGCAGTAGTTACTAATGCTTCCTGCAGCGCCTACTGCAAGCAGGCACCAGTTTTATAACCCAGCTGTTATCAAAACAAGCCAAGTAAGCATGACAATGCTATTTAGAGACAACATAAAACAGTTTCAGGACACACTGATGTGGTTACTGACTCTGGGTGACACCAACAAGGCATTTGCATATGCTTTGATTTTACCTAACATTTTCACAAAGCACAGGAATTTCAAGGGTTTCTTCTTCAAGAAGATGTAAGGTAATACCTTGATCAGATTATCAGAAGGCAAAACAAACCAGAAGCCTTCAAACTGACTTGGTACCAAAGACTGAACATTAAGTTCAACAATCAATAATTTTAACTACTCACTTTATGACAGCTTCCTGCCACAAATTTACAGCCCGATGAAAGGTGAGATTCTTTACTAATGAGCTCAGCTACCCCCAGTGCACCCTGAAAGAGTCCTCTGCCTCAACTGCTTTACAGAGCACACAAACAGCTCAGGAGCCTCCTAGCACCGACCGCTCCCATCAAGTGGAAGAATGCAGTTTTATCTCAATATTAGTTCAAAGAAACATGCACAAAGGTGGGGGGCGAAGGAAGGGCTCAGAGCTATTTCTCCCCATGACACAAGGTATGAATCAAATCAAATTACTAGCCCCAGGTGGATTACGGGGCAGCTTTAACGAAAGCAGAGGAGGAAGCATTCCCCTTCACGCAGTAATTCGCTTGCTGCTGGCAGGACAGCAGGGCAGAGATGAGCAGGCAGTAGAAGCCCAGCTTGCCTCGCAACTGTTGCTGTCCAGCTGTCACTGCAAAGCATTTGATTAGGACAGGAGCCAACATCTCTGTTTAAAGGTGCTGTTCCACTAACACGAAGAATATGACTGTCCTCTCCCTCCCCGGTGCACTGATTGCCTCGGGACAGAGAGCCGTATCAGGCAGCTCTGGCAGTGCCATCCCAATACAGCACTCATCTGAGGGACAGACTAGACTTGAGTTTTGCAGCTAACCAAAAATCCTGCTCCCAATTCAGCAGCTCAGTGCACAAACCCCATGCTGTTAGCTTTCCAGCGTTACTTCCCCTTATGCATTTTAGTTCAGTTATAAGACTGGAGGCCCAGTGCCGGTGGCACAAGTACAGAAAGCACAAGTGGGCAGAGGGCTGCTGCTGACACCTATAAACTCAGCAAGAACTGGTAATTCAAATCGGCATAAGATGCCCCGTGCTGAAGCAGTTAATGTCAAACAAGTTCATTTATATGGTTCACTGGGAACCTATCAAACAGTTTTTGTGCAAAATGACCTATTTGTATAACGGCGTTGTTCTGGGGTCCTAAGATACAGCAATGTGCACACTTCTAGGAGTTTAATAGTTGATAGTCAAGGAAGAGATACATACAATCCAGAGGTGAAGGATGCAAACAAGTATCGTTTTTAGGAACGAGAACTAGTCAAGTTTTCTTTGAAGCTTGTAAAGTTCTTCTGCTGAAGACATTTATATATGTTTCTGTACATCACTTAAGGTAACTTTAGAATGATATTCTCCTTGTCAATGTTTCAGACTGAAGCCACAGAGAAGCAGCCACATACTCACCTCAGTAAATACCAAGGCCCCCAAAAGCCTCA